TACAGGCCCCATACCTGGCATTTACTCCCTCCTCTCTTCCGCCCCATAAAATCCCTAGCTTCCTTCAAAACTTAGTACTAGCTCTTACAGGCAGCCTATCCTGATTCCCCCATCACCTTCCCTGGCCCATTACTAGAACTCTAACCCTGGAAATTACTTTGCATTCCACCCCTGCCCCAGGGGAGCTGTGTTAGCCACCATAGGCTATGTGTGTCCGCATGGATCTGTCTAGATGCAACAACAGCTATGTCTGGAGTCTGTCCCCCCACCTTCCTTCAGTGGTTCCTGCCAGGAAAGAAATCAGTTATTTGAGGCCCAAAGCTGTCCCCTCTGCTCACCTCAGAGAGAGGAGGTACCTGCTAGAACTACATCTATCTGCTCCCTTAAATATTGTTAATCGAGGGGAAGTGATTTTTAGGTTCAATCTGGGCTTCTGATTGCTACTCCTTGTTGGGGAAGCAGGACCTCAAGCTATATATCCAAGTCTTGACATCCTTCTCACCCGATGCACAATGAACACACCCAGAAGATAGCCAATAAATCCATTTATCCAAACAGATTTCAAACAGAAATGAGAGAAGGTATGAATAGGAGAATATGTACCAGACAGTACAAAGTCAAGGAACTCTCCCTTTGGGAGTGAGAAAACTCGACTCAACCAAGAGAGGGTCCTAGTCTCACCGGAGGAGAAACTCCTGGAAGTCTCTCCTGTAGTAAGCTAGGGATAGGGACATGACAGAGAGAGCTGGCTCCTCTGATGATGGCTTCTTCCCGGCCTTTCTCCCATCAGGGACCTGAAAAGAGCCTGAAACGGCATAGCTTCTCTCTCAAAGCTGGAATCCAGAAGACAAAGACGTCTCTTCTCTCCAGCTCTCACCAACTTCTCCTTTCACACAGGTACAGAGCACTGAGTAATGAACCTCCACCAATGGAAATAGTCTTATGCAAATGGTCCTTTGAGCCAAAGATTATATGTTTAATTTTATATATAAATATGTCTCTGTCTCTTTCTATATATGTTCATATATATATACATATACATATTATATATATATATAAAACACTCCCTCCCAACAGAATCCAACAGAATGTAAGCTCCAGGAGGTCAGAGACTATTTTGTTGTCTTTGTAGTCTTAGCACCTAACATAAAATAGACAATAAGTATTTGTTGAACTAAATAGGACTGGATTGAATTCTTTCCTTCCTTCCACAAAAAATATATTGAGAAGCACTTTGAGGGAAATAAACATAACAATAAAATAACAGCAATAATTTATACAATAAAATTAGCTGATATGCATGTCACATTTTACAGTTATAAACTGTTTGGCGTCTGTCAAATGTGTTGATTTGGTGCTTACAACAAGGTTGTGAGGTCGGTAGCCCAAATATCCTAACAATCCCTCGTGAGAAAACTGAGCCACAGAGAAGTGACGTGTTTGGTGCGTGTTCTCACAATGTATGAAGTAGAGCAAGGAAAAAAGTCTACCGCTCTACCAAGGTGCCTTTCAAAGTCTTAAGACCCAGCCCCTGCCTTCAGCTCGCTTGTAATAAAGTTAGGAAAATCATAACAATGTAAGAGAGTGATGATTAAGTTCTGCGTGAGTGTGCCAGAGAGGCTCTTTGGAGCTGTTCTAAGGACAGAAGAAACTAAGGTAGGCAGTGGGAAGAGGCGATGTGTGAGGGTAAAGAGAGGCAAAAAAGTCCGCAGCGTTTCTCTCTTTTTTTTTTAAATTTTAGGCAATTGGGGTTAAGTGATTTTTCACACAGTTAGTAAGTGAAAAGTGTTTAGTCTAAGGCCAGATTTGAACTCAGGTCCTCCTGACTTAGATGCTCTATCCACCGCAACTTCTCTTAATGGCCTTTCCAATAGTTGGTAGGACAAGCACAACCACGGAGTCACTGGGATCTGGGGCCTAGAGTATTTCAGGAACAAAGTGAAAGAAGAATGAGTCTTTCTGAGAAAACTCAGCCTCAAATCTTGGAGAACTCAATGCAATTCATGGAACATTGCATATAATGCCAGGCAGGGTTGATAGGTTGGTTAGTTTTGCTGAATTATGTCCCCCCCACTTTTTTTTGTCTTTTTTGTTCTTTGTTTTAATTCTCTATAGGGTAGGCAGCTAGGTGGTGCAGTGGATAGAATGATGGGCCTGAAGTCAGAGGCCCATCTTCCTCAATTCAAATCTTACTAGCTGTGTGACCCTGGGCAAGTCACTTCACCCTGTTTGCCTCAGTTTCCTTGTCTGTAAAATGAGCTGGAGAAGGAAATGGCAAACCACTCCAGTATCTTTGCCAAGAAAACCCCAAATGGGGTCAAGAAGAGCTGGACATGACTGAAATGACGAAACAACAAAATCTGTGTAGGGCAGAGAGGAAAAGATTCATTTGGAAATCAAGCTGAGTGAGTGAAATATTGCTTATTAAGTACCTGCTCTGTGCCAGAAACTGTTCTAGGGATATAAAAACATATTGATATAGTCCCTGCTCTCAAGGAGCTTACTCTGATAGGGGAGAGAACAGAGATAGGGGATGGAGGCCAGGAAAGGCAGTGTCGCTGAGTCACATATTTGATGAACAGAGTAAAGTTATGGAATTTGAGAGCTTCTACTCCAGTCCCCTTATTTGATAGGAAACTGGGGCCCAGAGAAGTAAGCCCAACATGAGAGCTAGTTTACCACCAGGATGAGATGCCACTCCAATGTTATTTCTGCACTGCATGTGTGTATGAGGGTGAAATGCATATCAAAAGTAATTATCATGTGACATGTGATATATCATATGATATGATCATTGATAATGATCAGTTATCACATGACATCTATATATCATATATGACATATATTGATATGGCATATAATACAATCAACTGATGATAATCAATTATCACTATGACCTTGATATATTATATGATATGATTAATGGATAACAATCAATTATTGTTATGCATGACATTGATATATTACATATGATATGATCAATTGATAATCAGTTATCCCATATGATATGTGATATATCATACATTAAATAATCAATTGATAATAAATTATCATCACGTGACATGTGATGCATTACACATGATATAGTGAATTGATAATAATAAATGATCATATATGACATGATGTATTGTATATGATATAATCAAGTTATAACAACCAGTTATTCTCACACTCTGACTTGAATCCTGATCTCCAACTTCAAGCCCACCAAGTTCTTCACAGAATCGTATGAGGATAGTACGCTGAAGCCTGATCTAAATGTGCATGGCTGTTATTTAGGACGCCCAGACCAGTCAGCTTGCTCTCCTTTAGTACAGGGCCCGTGACCAGAAGTGAGGAGGCTGGGCACATTCCTCCAGAAAAGATGCTTACTGTACTTTCATTGCCAGAAGTAGGCAAAGTTTATTTTTAGCTCTGGGTCTGATTATGCTCTAGGAACAATCTGTTGTCTGGTTATCCCATGGTGGGATAGCAGGGAGCCTAAAAAATTCAGCCCCTTGACAGCTCCCTGACTTTTCAGTAACTACAGAGGCAGGTGGTATATTGGGAAAAACCCTTGTGCTGGAATAGGAGCTGGCTTCAGTCCTCACGGTCCCTTACAAGCCTTGGTCACAGGCCAGACCAGTCCTTCACTTGGAGTAGTCTGAGGAGGGGATTAAACCAATGATCAAAAAGAGGCCCCTTCAACATCAAGACGTGGACAAGTAGTCCATGAAGTGGGCAATGACGGAGGATCCTCCGAGGGGAGAAAGGAAGAAGGGAGCCTGAACAAAGAACATTGCTTAGCCACCATCAGAGAAGGACACTTTTCCCTCCCTCCCTCCCTTAAAACTGCCCTCGAAGGCTCTCTCTGCGGCCCCGGTGTATGGTTACAAGGGAGCCCCAGGAAGCTTCCTCCGCCCGCTCCTCAGCAGATGTGCTGTTTGCTTAGCATTTGCTCCGACTGGGCTCAGGATTTCTCTGCCCAGCTGTTCTGTGCCCTGGACATCTCGTTGTCTCGGCAGGAGCTCACTCTACCCTGGGGGAGGGAAGGAGAGGGGGGAGGGGAAAAAAGAAAAGGAGGAGGAGGAGGAGGGAAAAGAGGAGGAGAAGGAGGAGAAAGAGGAGGAGCGGGGAAGAGGAGAAGGAGTAAGAGGGATAGAATGGGGGGGGGTGAGGAATGATGATGGTTATGATTTGGTAACCATAGTAGTGACCCCTCAGGTCCCTCCAAACATGTGCCTTTCCTTTTATAGTCAGCTGTTCCTGCTGGGAGGGGTCTGTTTTTGGTTGGATGCTCTGGTATGTGTGTGTGTGTTCAGCTTTCAAGCGGGCCACCGACTGCAGTGACTCTCCGCTTGCTTCTGGGGAGCACTGTAACCCCGCTGTGCAAAGCGTGAAAGCAAATGATGGTCCCTAGAGCAGCCAGAGGGGAGAGCTGGGGTGGCGGGGTGGAAAGGGGAAGGAGGCAGGGGTGAGAATGGGAGAGGGAGGGGAGAGAGAGAGAGAGAGAGAGAGAGAGAGAGAGAGAGAGAGAGAGAGAGACATTGGGAGGGAGGGAAAGGGAGGAGGAGGGAAAGAAGGAGAGAGAGGGGGAGGGGAAAAGGAGGGAGGGAGAGGAGGGCAGGAAGGGAGGGAGGCCAGGACAAGTCAGAGTGCGGAAGCCAGCGGCAGCAGCAGCTCCAGCCTTCCCAAACTTTGGGCCCTTTCATAATTTTTCTCTCCCCCGCCCCTCTCGGTGTCCCAACCCCTTTTGACGTTGCTGTCTAACTTTCTGGGGCCGCCGCTGCTGGGGCAAAGCCTCTTGGCTTTGGGAGCCTGCAGCAGACAGAGCTGGCTGGGGAGGCTCAGCGGAGTCCCAGTTGGGGAGGGAAGGAGAGGGGGGGATTTCCTGAAGGAGACCCTGGGGAGTCTAAGATTTCCTAGGTTCCCTACCCCCGCCCTTTCATCTCCCCCTCCCCTCGTCCTCCCGTTATTCTCCCTTCTCCCATGCTTTTTCTCCTCTCCCCTTTCCTCACCTCTTTCCCCTCTTCTAAACTCCTTCCCTCCTCACCCCTCCTCCTTGACATCTCCCCTCCCCCATGGCTGGAAATGCAGCATGAAAAGATTGGGGTCTTGGCCTCTTCCCCTTGATCACGGAAACACGAACTACCAGGGGATGGCATTTCCTTCTCTGCCAACACCCTCCCTACAGCTCTGATCACCTCCTCCTCTTCCCAGCTGGGCCAGGAGCAACCCCCTCATGCTGTTGCTGCTGCTGAAAACCCAGACTAAAGCCAACAGATTGGAACTTGTCCAGAGAGGGGCTGAGCTGTGCCCTCCACCATGGCCCCCCTCCCCTTCCCTTCTCCAGGCTCCCTGAGTGAAACTGGGGGCAGGCCTGCAGGACCCAGCCTTATGGTGACTGGACTCAGGGGACTTTGGGACTCTGTTCCCAAAGACATTTGAGGCCTGAAATTTCAGGTCCTTAACTCTAGTAGGTTTACAAGGGAGAAAGAGGTCTCCTCCTCCTCCACCCCTTTGAAGAGGTGATCACTATTCAGCTGCAACTCTCAGTGAGTATTGAAGTAGATCCATGGTTGGGGTGGGTGGAAGAGTTCTTTTTTGTCATGGGGTGGATGGAGGGAGTGTTGGGAACTGAACCTTGGAAGTGAGCTAGGGTGGGTGTGAGTGGTGAGCCCGGACCTACACTGGGGCTCTCTGGAGGCTGGGGTGGTAATGTGGCTTGTAAGGATTAAAGGGTCTTAAATTTGCCCCTAGAAGTGCTACTTTCTCAAGGCCCAATACCCTTACAGCCTGGCTTCATTTTATTTTGTATCTATAAAAACAAATACAGTACTTTGTTTATGGGAACGGACAACTCTATGCAGGGCTTTGCGTAAGCCATGCAAACAGAGTGTCGATCTCATCCTTAAAGATCTCCAAAGATGGAGAATCCAACACATTTCCTGATGACCTGAGTTCAAATGCAGTCTCAGACACTTACTAGCTGTGTGACCTTAGACAAGTCACTTAACTACTATCTGCCTCAGTTTCCTCAACTATAAAATGAGAATAATAATAGCACTTACTTCTCAGGGGTGCTGTGAGGATCAAATGAGGTAATAGTTGTAAAGCTCTTAGCACAGTATCTGGCACCTAGTAGGAGCTTTTGTTTTTTTCCTTCCCTCCCTTCCTCCCTTGCCTCCTTCCCTACATTCCTTCCTTCCTTCCTTCGTCTTAGTACCTTGATTCCAATGATTCCACTATCAGGAAGTTTTTTTTTTTTTAATATAATCTGTTTCAACAGTGGAGAAAGCAGAGGACGTGGGGTTGAAAAGCCTGAGTTCAGACATTGGCTGTACTGTTTATTCACCCTATGACTTGTGCCAAGCACTGTCGCTCTTTGAAGCTGAAGAATGGGTATGATGGTACCTTTAGTCCCAGCTTCACAGGCTTGTTGTGAGGGTCAAGCTTAGTGAAGCTTAGAGCACCATGCAGCATCAGCTAGCCTTAGTGCACAAGAGGGAGACTTAGGGGCTAGTCCTGGGGTTCTTATCCAAGATCCACAGATTTCAGGGGGTCTGTGGAATTGGATGAGGAAAAAAATACATCCTTATTTCAATATAAAGTTTCCTTTGAAATCCTATATATTTTATTTTATGCGTTTAAAAATATGATTCTGAGAAGGGGCCTATCGGCTTCACTGGACTACCAAAAGGGTCTGTGACACCGAGTTAGGGTTTGGAAGTGATTGAATGACTGGACCCAAACTGTAGGATCGATGGATTGCTGTCAACCTGGAGGGAGGCATCTAGACAACAAGCATTTATTAAGCACCTACTCTGTGCCAGACACTATGCCAAGTGCTGGGAATACAAAGACAAAAAATAAATAAAGTCCCTGCCCTCAAGGCCCCTTGCTTGTGTCCTCAGCATAATGAGCTGTACCCTCATTGGGCCATCAGTGGGCACAGCTGTTTCCTCACTGGGCTTTCAACACATCCACCAGTGTCCTTAATCCCCAGCCTACCATCTATTGTACCCACTGTGCCCTCAATGTCTGTGCCCTCAGACCTGTTCTGTTCAACATTTCTGTCAGTGACTTCCATAAAAGTATAGATGGCCAGCTTGTCAATTGGCAAATGACACAAATGTGGGAGGGTTAATGTTAAACAGTAGAGTCAGGCTGCAATCAGATCAGGCTAGAACAATGGACCAACCCTAATGAGACAAAGTTTTAATAGGAATAATTATCAAGTGCTGCACTTTGGTTCCAAAAATTACCTGACCATGTACAGAATAGGGAAAGGCAGCTAAATATAGAATTATAGGATTTAGAAGTGGGAAGGAAGGGCCTTAAAGAGCATCGAATCACAAACCCTGTTTACAGATGAGTACACTGAGTCTCGGAGCAATTATACCCAAAATCATACATGTTGTCTCAGTGGGAAAGATTTGACAACAGGTCTTCCAAATCCAGGACTCTTTCTGTCAGTGGAAGATGTTTGAATGCAATGAAATAGGATAATGTTGTGCCAAAAAAAATGACGAAGGGATGGTTTCAGAGAAAACCTGGAAAGACTTGTATGAATGAACTGATGCAGAGTATAGGAAAGCAGAACCAGGACCACAATTTATACTCTAACAAATGTCATTATAAAAACAAACAACTCTAAGACTTAAGAACTCTGATCAACACAATATTAGCCATGAATCCAGAGGACTAATGATGAATGATATGACCCACCTCCTGGCAGAGAGGTGATAGATTCAATAAGACATACATTTTTGGAGATGGCCAATGTGGGAATTTATTTTGCTTGACTATACACATTTATTACAAGGGTTTTGTTCTTTTTTTTTCCGCAGTGGGGGGAAGTTAGGTAGGATGGAGAGAAAATAAATGATTGTTAATTGAAAAAAGAAAAGTAATATGGAATACTGGACAGTGTCCCAGACTTAGAATCAGGAAACCTGGGTTTGAATTCTGATTTAGATATTTACCAGAAAGTCATTTAACCTCTCAGAGGTTTTTCCATCGGCAAAATGGGGGTCATAATAATTGTGTTTCTTACTTCAAAGGATTTTCATGAGAAAAGTGATCTGTAAACTTTAAAGTAACATATAAATAAATATGAGTTATTATGGTTTCTTCTGTATCATGATTCCTCTTCATTAATGGTCCATTTGTAAAAATGTCTCAGAATTTTAGGCAACTCAGGCTTGATAATAATCATTGTTATATAAATAATTCTATTTCTGTAACACTTTGTTTACATATTGATCTCCTCACAACTATCCCATGAAGCAGATAGTGGGAAATGTTGTTATCCTAGTTTTATGGGATCCTATACCGCCCCCCACACACACATACTTAGGGTAGGAGTGAAAAAAAAAAGCAATAATTTGTTTATCCTTTTTTTCCCCAAAGTGTTTTTCACGTACATTGTCTGGAAGATTCTCTTGTGTGTGATACTTTCTTTGAGATCATCCCCTGGTATGCAGGAACTTAGCTAAGCAGGGCTCATACAAAGGAAAGAAGGAAAGGAAGGAAATTAGGAAGGAAATATTTGCTAAGGGCCTACTATGTGCCAGGCACCGTGCTAAATACTTTACAAATATTATCTCATTTTATCCTCACAATAGACCTGGGAGGTAGGTGCTATTATCATCCCTATTTTACAGTTGAGGAAACCGAGGCAAAGAGAGGTTAAGTGATTTGCCCAGGGTATTTCCGTGGAAAAGGAAGGGCTGTAAGCCTGTAGACTGGCTATCAGTAAGGTGTGAACTTCAGAAGATTACTGCTGCTTGGGTTGAATCCCAGTGGTTATTCTTGCTTTCTCTATAGCCTTTTATCCAGGCTTGGGAACAGAGCCATCAGCTCCATGGAAGCAGTCTCACCTGCTGAGAGGAGGAAGTCCAGAAAAGGCATGAAGGAACCAAGTGGCCAAAAACCTCATAGATCCCCACTTCTGCCCCAGGAAGCCCAAGGGCCTGGTGCAATGGCCTCCAAACCTGTTAGTGCCTGGGCAGGTCAGCCCCAGGGCCCCTCTGTGCTGGAGTGTAAAGTGAGGGCCCTAAAGGAGAAGAGGATGTTGACTGGGAAACAGGCAGTAAGTGCTGGCACTGTCTCCCAAGAACGACCCTCGCTGAAGAAGGCCAAGAGCCAGTGGGCTAAGCCAGCTGCAGCCATGCTGGTAACTGAGGGTGCTTCTTCTCAGGACAGTGTGGTGGCCCCCCAAGCTCAGATGAGAACTTACTTGACAGACACGGTGCTGGACAGCAGTGATGACCTGGAAGAGGGGCCAGTGCCCACACCCCCTGCGAGTCACAACAGCACCCAGTCTCCAAATCAACTCAGTTTAGGGGAAGGAAGCCAGAGGCTCCTGGAAGGCATATGGAAGCCTCCTGACTCGGGTCTATTGCAAGAGGCCAGTTATTTCCAGGAAAGCCCAATTCAGCCAGCTTCTCAGAACAGGTCAGAGATCCCAGGGCCTTGCAGGGATTTGGCCCAAATGCTTTCCCTGGAGAATGGGAAATCGGGAGCCCTTGCAAAACATCAGATCCAAGTGGGAGACCTAGATGAGGAGTCTCTGGCCTTGGAGCCAGAAAATCCCATTCAAGAGACCACCGCACAAGGACAGCTGTGGAAAGCGGGCAGCTGGGATGGTTTGAGGAGTGGCAACCACTCCTTGTCATTGGCTGACCGAGTGGAGAGGAACCGCCTTCTTCTGCAGGAGAGGAGAAGCCTGTCAGAACACAGCTGTTCTCAGCTCCACCAAGCCAGAGCCCACAATGGAACCACCCCAGGTGAGTCCAGTAGGTAAGAGGTGCAAGGCACCCACTCTGGGATCAGCTCTTCTGTGTAGAAGAGAGGAATAGGAAGGCTATAAAAAGAGACCTTAGGTCCATTCACCTGTATTCTCTCCCTGCTGTCTTTTGGTGATGAATTTTCTCCCCAGACACGTCAGTCCCCCAGCATCACCACTTGCTGAAATCCTGCTGTCCCCTGCAGCCGACCACACAACCAAAAAGCCTGACCTGGTTGATTAATGGTGAACAGCAGAGATTCCCCCAGCGTCCCCTCCTAAGCATTGCCCTGGCCCTTTCCCTGTTCGCAATATCCATGAACTTTAAGCTGTTGTGAAAATTTGGCAGTTAGTGGAAATCCACGGCCCATGCAAGCCTTCATCAATTTTGGTGTACTGGATAAATAGAAAGCTGCTGTACCCCATAAAAAAGTTTGGGGAACCCTTGTTGTTTCCCGTTGCATACCACTACTTCACTATTACTTTAGGCACAGGGTAAGTAGGGCAAGCCCTCTTTACTTCTCTCCTTCCTCCCTTTTCCATTCCCACAAGTCCCATCTTCTCTGAAAGTCAATTGTCTTTGAGATCCTTAAAAAAAAATCATAGCACAACTCCGTAAAAATTGACTTTTGTCCCAGTGTCAGTACTGAGTCTTTGCCCTAAGCAATCTCTTTCTCAGGCTGAGCAACACGGGAGTGCAGCCTGTTGACGTTCTCTGTAGGGAGATAATTGTTTCGGAGAGCATCATTTTCTTTCCCTTCCCCAAGTGGCAACTGAGGCTGCTCCCAGCTTGTCCCACTGGTAGAAATGAGGAGAATTTAGCTGAAAAGACATAGCCACAGAGAAGGGAATCTGTCATGTGTTCCAAGCAGATTAGTGACCAGGGGACCTTAGGTCCCTGGATTTTGCAGTACTGTCCCTGATCTCTTCCTTTGTTCTGGGTCCTAGAGCTGCCAGGGGGAGACCTAGATTGGGACTCAGGAGTATCCCTGCAGGACTCTGATGGGTGCAGGTAAGAGTTCAGAACTCTTTCTTTTTTCCTTAGCTCCCTATCCCCCCTCCCCCCCAACTCACGTCAGAACTGGTGCTGGTTTGCTGCCAGTCAGAATCCTGTGATTCCAGGCCACAGAGCAGAATTTCCACTTCTGCTGATTACTACCTCCTGAAAGTACCACAAAGAGCAAGTTACTCTTGGGTGCCTGGCATAATGCCTGATTGTACTTCTGGGAAATGCTGGCCAGGCAAGGGGAGTGCTTAATTGGGAGCAAGCCAGAGGGTGTGCTGGTAAAATGTTTAACAACCAACTCTCCAAAAAGAAAATATTCAAAAACCAATTCCGGATACACTTTAAAAAATTTTTTTCCCCAATTACATATAAAAACAATTTTTAACATCTGTTTTTTTTTAAAGTCTTGAGTTCCAAATTCTATCCCTTCCTCCTTCCTCTTCCTCCTCCTTGAGACAGTAAGCAATCTGATATAGGTTATACATGTTCAATCATATAAAACATTTCCATATTAGTCATATGGTGGGAGAAAACAAGAAAAGAAAGAAAGAGGAAGAAGGGAGGGAAGGAAGGAAGGCAGGAAAGAAGAAAGGAAGAGAGGAAAGGAGGGAGGGAGGGAGAGGGTATGCATTCAGACTCTAACAGTTCTTTCTCTGGAGGTGGATAGCGTTTTTTCATCGTTTGTCCTTTAGGATTGTCTTGGATGATTGTACTGCTAAGAATAGCTAAGCCATTCACAGTTGTTCGTTGTACAATGTTGCTGTCACTGTGTGCAATGTTCTCCTGGTTCTGCAGGATACACTTTTACGTTTAATCTTCATTATCACCATTTTCTCCATCACTTTCTTAAGACTAGACAATCAACAAAATAATAAGTCAAGCCTTGACTTATAGCGTGTAACGGGTAAATGTTCATACTAAAAATTTAGCCATCGGCTCTCAGAAAGTGGTTAGAGTTTGGCACCAGCACACCCCCTGAGCCAGGATTCTCAGTCTGGACTTACCACTAAATGTATATGGGTATGTATAGCTTTAAGCTAACCATTTAACTTCTGTAGATATCCATTTCCCCATCTACAAGACAATACCAGTGTGAGGTAACAGAAAAGTCATCAGTCCTGGGTTCTACTCTTGGCTTTCCCATTTACTAGCTATGTGACTTAAGCCAGTTATCTCTTTGGACTTGGGTTTCATAGGATCATAGAGTCTTAGAATTGGAAGCACTTCCATTTCTGAGCAAGAATATCCTCTTTAATATCCTGAAGTAGTCACCTAGCCTGCACTTGAAGACCTGAAATTCTCCATAACAGAGCTCATTACATCAGAAGTTGGCCCATTCCACTTTTCGGAACCTCTAATCGTTAGGAATAATTTCCTGAAATCAAGCTGAAATCTGCTGTCTAGAGCCAAGCAAAAATAAGTCTTCTCTATCTTCCTTTTGACAGCTTTTCACATACAGAAAGACAGTTTTCTTGTCATGTTCCCAGTAAGCTTTCCCCTGTCTAGGCTAAATAGCCCTGATTCCCTCAACCAACTTTCCTGTCAATATCCGGGATGCCTTCCTTGAGACATGTTCCAGCAAATGAATGTACTTTCTAGATACCCAGAACAGAACAAAGTACTTCACCTGTGGTCTGACTAGGTAGGAATATGATGGGATTACAGCCTCCCTCTGTTAATGTGGCCACTTGTTACATATATTTATTTGGCTTCCATAGCACACGATTGACTCATATTGAGCTAGCATTTCGCTAAAACCCCAAAATATTTTGCACAGGGAATTAAGCTTAGCCATATCTTCCCCATCCTGTATTTGTGAAATTGATTTTTTTGGACAGCAAGTAGAGAGATCTAGAGAGATCTTTTGGGATCCTGATTCTAGTTTTCCTGTTATCTTTTTCAGTTTCATGTCATTAATAGATTTGATAAGCATGCCATCTGAAACTTCATCTGATTCAGTTCAGCATTTAGATACTACTATGTGAACAACCTCTTGTGAAAAAGACAAAAAGTCTTTACTAAAAATTTTGAACGGGACACAGTCAAGGACAGATCCCTGGGGCATCTTGGCAGACACCTCCCTTCAGGTAGACATTGGTCCATTGATGATTATTTTTTGGTTTTAGTCATTCAGCCAAATGATCAATGAATCATCAAGCGTTTGTTAAGCACTTATCGTATTTCAGACACTGTGATAAGCTCAGTGAACCCACATAAAGCCTAAGTCTCAGGTCCAGCAGCCCCTGTTCTAGGCTACTTTACTTCTAGGCTACCCCACTTCTACCAGAGTTAGGGTATTTGTGGTGAAGCAAGATACTCTGATTTAGGGAAAGTGGTCATCTGTCCCTCCTGATGATCACAGGAAAGAAGGAAGGAAGGAAATAAGCACCGACTATGTGCCCAGCACTGGGCTAAGTGCTTTAAAAATATCTCATTTGATCCTCACAACAAACCTGGGAAGTAGGTGCTATTATTATTCCCATTTTACAGCTGAGGAAACTGAGGCAGACAGAGGTTAAATGACTTGTCACATAGCTAGTAAGCATCTGAGATCAGATTTGAACTCTGGTCTTCCCCTGGCTGCCTCTAGTACCTTCCATAACCTCCAAACTTCCTGCTATCCAGGTAAGGAAGTATGGTACAATGGAAAGAAAGCTCACTTTAGGATCATTTGATCTGAGTTCAGATCCTGCCTCTGGCATTCCCTATGTGACCTCGGGCTAGTCGGGCCTCAGTTTTCTTCTCTGTCAAATGAAGAGGTTGAATAGGCTCTAAGTCTCCTCTCATATCTAAATCTATGGTCCTGTGACTGATATCAAAGAATCCCAAAGGGTTTAGGCCCTGGTTACTGGAAGAGCATAGCCCTTCTCATCAACAGCTCTTAGCACAGTGGCGTGCACATAGCAGGCTCTACATACGTGTTTATTAATTGAATGATTGATGGTTTGAGCTGATTGCCCAGAAAAATAGAAAGGCATCTCAAGCCCTCCCTGTCCCCTCCCTGGAGGGGTGCTTCAGGGCAAGCATGCTATAACCTGGGCAGTAGAGAGGAATCCAGGTATAGTTTCCAGTTCAAAAGTAGTTCTGTTTCAAAACTAGGTCATCCCTAGCCCAAGGGTCAGTCATTTCCAGGGCTGACGTGTTTCCCATGGTGGATTTAAGAGTGGTTCCATGTTAGATACCTCAGAGCTACCCTAGCCCAGACAGAGAATTCTCTCTGGGGTCTGAAGTTGCCAGATCTGTTTGCCGAGATATGGAAAGAAGGAATAGCTCCTTCCGCATCTCAGCAAATGAGTGGCTAATGGCTGTGTAGGCCTGGGCTGGTATCCCCTTGGGGGAGGGGAGTAGAGGCTGCTATACTTTCCTGTGGGTCCCAGGCCAGCATGAGGTCCCAGGTCTGGTCCACCTAGAGGGGTGCCAGCAGAGCAGCAGCCATAGGCCACCCCCTGCGGAAGGGCAGGTACCATACCTGTCCCTGCAGTGATCCTGGCACTCAGAGCGGAGGTCAGAAAAGACATCTGGGAGCTGCTTCCAGTTTTCCAGCTGTGCAGTGATCTCACCCCTCATCAGCATTGTGTGGTTTCTGCCAAGGGCTGAGGTTGACATTGCCAGTTTCCATTGTCCAGGACACTCCCTCCCCTTCATTCAACATGAAACCTGAGCTTTCCTCAGATCCTTTTTAGAAACATGGAGCAGGTTCCCTACCCCAACATCCTAGGCTTAGCAAAGATTCATGAGCAGAAGAATGACATGACAAGATCTGTGTCTAAGGAATATCATTCTGGCAGGGATAGGAAGTATGGATTGGGATGGGTTGGGGGAGACAAGGAGTGGAGGCAGAGCTGGGAAAATGTCTTAGGAGGGATGGCACAATAGTCCAGACTCATGTTAGTGAGGGGCTGTACTAGGGGCAGTAAAGTGGGAATGGAGAGGAGAGGAGAGCTAGGGGAGAGGTTAGTGAGGCAGAATTGATAATTGATTGAATGTTTGAATGAAGGGAGAAGGAAGAGTCAAAGATAAGCCAATAGCTTGGAAATAGCGATGGCAACAGAAAGACCAAGTTTAGGGGGTCAAATAGTTTGGTGGGGGAATGTGCTGGTGAGAGAATCACTGTCTCTCACAGTTGGAAGCGACCTCATAGACAGTACAAGTCAAGTGAAGTCAATAAACTTTTATTAAGTGCCTACTGTGTGCCAGCTACTACACCAAGTTCCGAAGATGTGAAGAAAAGCAAAAACCTGCTCTCAGGTAGATCACAGGCCACCTGGGGAGACGACATGCTAACGATCAAGTACGAACACATAAACTGGAGGTAATCAGCAGAGGGAAGGCACTAGAATTGAGGGGTTGGGAAAGGCTTCCTGGAGGAGGTGGGATTTGAGCTGGGACTTGAAGGAAGCCAGAGAAACCAGGAGGTAGAGATGAGGAGGGAGAGCATTCCAGGCATAGGAGGACACCCAGACAAAATGCCCATACCTGAACATAACTTCTTTGGCATTGTAGCAGATTGCTGTTGAGTCACTTCAGTCATGTCTGACTTTCTGTGACCCCGTTTGGGGTTTTCTTGGCAGAGATACTGGAGAGTTTTGCCATTGCCTTCTCCTGCCCATTTTACAGATGAGGAACTGAAGCAAACAGGGTTAAGTGACTTGCCCAGGGTCACACAGCTAGTGAACGTCTGAGGCCGGATTTGAACTCAGGAAGATGAGTCTTCCTGATTCCAAGCACAGTGCTCTGTCCACTGCATTTTGTTTGAAGTGGGGTGAGATATAGAAATGTCTGCGTGGAAATCAGCTGAAGAGAGGTGGTGATTGAAGCCATGGGAGTGAATGAACTTGCCAAGAGAGAGAGCACAGAGGGCAAAGAGGCTGACGAGAGAGCCTTGTGGAAAACCACAATTAAAAGACTGGGCAGAAGATGAGAAACCAGTGAAGGAGACAGAGGGATTGATTAGAGAGGTAGGGAGAGAACCAGGAGAATGTATTGTCTCTGAAGGTGAAGAAATG